GGGGGGGGGCTTCACCACGGACGTCCGGGGTGTCACAGCAAAGAGAAGGAAGGGGTCCGCGGGGAGGTGGAATGCGGAATGTTCGATGAAGCGCAAGAGAACGAGGTCTTTTATGAAAACAATATATAAATATAGATATAGAGATGTATAAATATATATATATTTATAGAAATATAGATATAAATATATATAAAAATGTAGAAAAAGTGGAGCAAAGAGGAGTATTCGCGAATACCAACCCATCCTACTAACACGAACCGTAATACCAACACATAGCCCAGCAATGCGGCTTTCTCACGGACATTCGGGGTGTCAATAAAAAGAGGGAAGGGGCCCTGGGGGATGTGGAATGCGGAATGTTCGATGAAGCGCAAGAAAACAAGGTCTTTTATGAAAAAAATATATAAATATAGATATAGAGATATATAAATATATATATATATATAGATAAGAAAGTAAAGTAAAGAGAAGTATTCACGAATACTAACTCATCCCAATCCTAATAATAACAATAACTCATAGCCCAGCAATGCGACTCCGCATTCAGCCTTTGATGAGGCCATTCCTCACACGACGCCCCGCCTTTTTAGGCCCCAAACCCTCCACACCCACACAACACCATCGCCCCCTTCTCGGATGAATATCTCCCCACGTAATCCCACCAACGCGAAGGGCACCCCCCAACAACATCCGTCCCCTCAACCTCCTACTTCCCACACCAAACGAAATAAAAAGACAGGGATAAAAGTACTTCTACACAAAACAAAACAATAAATAAATCAATAAATAATAACCCGAAGGCGTTTTTTTGATTTTGGCTTTGTTTGGGGGAGGGGGATGCCTCCTTAAATGTGGAGCATTGCTAACGCGATGGGTCTCGTTCGCACCCAAGACTCGAAAAGGGCCTTCGCTCTTTAAATATCGCGTCCCGACGTCGAAACCTTTTCGCTCAGTGATCCTTCCGAAATAAGTCGATCCCGAAGACTTTTTCCGGCTCCACCCCAACGTCGAAGTTGGGCCTCAGGGCAAAAAAAATAAGAAAAGAACACCAAAAAATTGAGTTTCCCAGAAACTCCCATCCTGCGGGGGGACACCTCAAAATGTTTTGGAGAAAAGAAATCGAAATTAGCTTCATCGTCGCCTTCAAAGATTTCTAGGTGGGGTTGGAATAACGATCCAGAACTTTCAGCCATTCATCCACGCGCAATCCATGAAAAAAAAACGTAATCCGGCAGAGCCTCCCAGTCAAGGTTGTTGATTTTTTTACAATTAGTAGTAGTAGTAGTAGTATTTAAAACTTGCAAAACTGTTTCTGATTTTTCCAAACCGATCGCCCTTTTTGCTTCTCGTGGCCACGCGCATCCCAAGAAGTCCCCTTAACCGTCAAAATAAATATAAAATACATCAATCCCCCCCCCCTCCCCTCAACTCGTAGTCATTACGAAAAAGATGAGATCGAAATGCCCTTAGAAAAAACCACAAAAAAAAGAGGTCGAAAACGTGGCATCGAAAAGTGAAACGGAAAGGGGGAGGGGGTTCCGAAGGGTTTAAAAAGAAGTCGTACAAAGTACAAGGAAAAGGTCCATGAAGGTTGAAAATCAGAAACAAAAATAAAATTGCCTCTTCACCGCGAGATGATATATCGATAGATAAATAAATATATGAATCGATAGATAGATATATCACTATAGGAATGGATATAGATATATGGTAAGCGACAAAAGCTTAATAAGATATAAATGGGAAAATGTTTTAATGGCATTACACACAACACTACGTGCAACTTCTGATTCTTCTTAAACTACTTTACGCGTCCTGAATCACGAAGATGATATCTTTTCATGATTTACAAATCTATTATTGCAAACCGTCGACTTAGAAAACCCTGGATAAGGGGAGGAAAATGGCTCAAACCATAGAAAATAACGATAGAAAAAATAAAAAGGGGAAAAAAGAAAATAAAAAATTGAGATTGAGGATTTGATCTCCCTGCCAACTTATATGAGGGAAAAAAAAAAAAAACGCGCTTGAGATAAAGAAACATTACCTCAACCATTTTAATCTACTCCCTCTCTTCGATTACCTTACACAGCTTGAGTGAATTTAGATGAAAATAGGCTTAAAATATCTCCATTATTTAAAGAGATAAAAGTGATAAAAAGTGGCACATGAGCCTTTTGGATCATCCATTATGTGCAGCAAACGAAAACATTAAGAATATCACAACAACAGAATCACAAAAGAACGAGGTGCGGCTCCTGCTTGAGAATGTGTATCGGTGGATAAAGGAAATTCAAAGGTGATATAATTAGGCCCACAATTATCCACACGAGCACATAAAATAAGTTTCAGAGGGAGTCAGATTTTTTTTCAATACATTTAAATTTTATCAGCTCCCTCAAAAATATTCTGGTTGTAAGTAAGTTATTCACCAAAAAAAAAAGTCAGATTTTATGAACAGTAATCAATGCTGATGGAATGTTCGAGATGTTATTCTTGGATAT